GGTAGGGGGGATGAAATTTTATTCCTTTTTTGTTCCAAACCTCTAATCATTGCAACTTTTTAAAAAGCATCATTATTTGACATAAGAATAAACATACAAATGTTCGGATTTTACTCCATGTTAACTTCTCAAATGTTGGATCGGTCACTGCCACAGATATCTTGTTTCTGATGCAAATTGCTTTAGAATTCAGTATTTAAACGCTAAATGTACAATAAATATTTATATACATATAAATTTTCAGCTTAAGATCTCAAGAAAGCATGTAAAAAAATAAATTTTAAATGTACTTTTAAGATTCAAAATTTGCAATTAGGTATTGGATCAAAGTTCAAATTATTAGAACCATTCAATAATGAGAAAGCAAATTCACTCTTCTTCTTTTTTTAATGGTTCTTTACAAGAACTCTTTATTTGAAGTAGCTTCTGAAGCTTCTCCAAGCTTATCACACGCTCTACATTATCCTGAATAAATTTTACTGTAAGCACAGCATAATTGAATTTTTTATTACAATTTTTTTTTTTTTTAAATAAAAAATATGTTTCTTGTTTGAGTAATAAATATTCTACCCAGCAATTTATTTTTTAAAACAAAATAATTTATTTCTTGTTTTGAGAAATAATTTTTTTAAACAATGTTAATTAGATTTATGATTTTGCTGTGAGTTCTGAGTTGTTAGCAACTTTGAAAGATTTTTAAAGTTTTGGAATTTATTGTATCTGATCAGTCTGTGGGATTTTCATCCGGAGGCATTTTTTCAAACTATGACCTAGAATATCAAAATTTTCTAGTATTCTGGTGAAGTATACAATTTAAGACCTAGTGGATGGTCTTTATCAACAAAAACTGCTTTCAGAAGGAGTTCAGCTTTGATTCTATCCGTTTTTACTTGATTTTGGACCTCCCTTTGTTTTTGAATACAGAACTTTTTACCACTTTAATATTGTGATCTCAGTCAAAAGATGCTAGTACCAAACACCTCTGCAGCAGGCTCGATATACATCTGCCAATATTCTTGTTGATTTTAAAAGTGTAAATTAAAAATAATGCAATATAGATAAAGTTAAGTTTAAAATGACACTGCTAAAAACTTATTACATTTAATTTTGATAAGATAAAATCAAAGTGCTATTTCTATTGATTTCAGTTTTATTTTATTTCTACTGATTTTACTGATTTAAGTCTGTTATTGAAAAAAAAAAAATTGGTTTAGAATTATTTTTTTTTGTATTTTACGTCTGATTTAAACTATTTTGCAAACAATTGTTTTTAAACAATTTTTTAATTTAAGACATAAATTATTCTTAAATAATAAGATTTAAATATCAAAACTTAAGAAATTAAGTTTTACTTTAAAAATTGCAAAATCAGATAAGTCGTAGGTCTAAATCAGCGATGCCCTGGAGAGAGAAATTTAGTCAGCCATTCTATTTATCTCTTTGAGTATATTTATTACTCAGGATAAAAACTTGCCTGATTTTAGAGAAATGCAACTTGAATTTCATGAAATTCAAGGCGTATGAAACAGCTCCATATTTGTAAATTTTCACATAATGGTCTGATTTTTTTCTGCAAGTTCACCATAATCTCTGCGCTTCTCAAAATTCTAAATGTAAATAATTTTTCGTTTTTGCATTATAAAGTGAAAAAGTTTTATCTTTACCTTACTATTTTTTAACCTTTTATGGTTTTATGATATAAATAGTTTATTCTCAAGCTTAACAGTTTTATTTATAGCTACGGCTATATGAAGCTCTCCGACATAATAGCAGGAGGTTAACAAGAATAATGGTTGACCATGAAACTTAGCTAATCTTGCACAAACCCCTTTTAAATATCGAGGGCTTGAAGTGGGTGAACTGTATGAAAAAAAAAGCATCTAACAAATTTCTAATTGCTTTGTATTGGGCCTCAATGCTTTCGTGTTTAAAAACCACGTTTTTTTTGTTTCATGACAAATTTATGCCATTTTAAAATACCACCAGTTAACAAAAATAATAGTAATAAAAATACGCACAAGTTTATGGTATGTAAATTTCTATTTGGACTGATTGTTTGAAAATGCCCTTGAAAACTCAAAAAATGTAAAAATGTTAAACTTAAAAAAAGTGGCTTGAGTATAAATAGTCATCCAAACAAAAAAATTAAAAAATTTCATAAAAAAAACAATACCTTGAGAATATTTTGTGACGCTCCACGTATTAAAATTTGTTCATGAGTGTCAAAATGGGATGGTGCTAATATGCATGCATATACATACAGACTTCCGTAGAAATGACAAGCTATAGCCTGCGTTTATCTCCACACCTGGGCAAGTCAGTTTACATGGATAAAAAAAGCCCGCCCATAATATAAATTTTTTAGTAAAAAATTTTTAAAATATTTTGATGTTTTAAGTTTAAAACTGTTTCTTTCTTAAATGAAAAAATAAAAAAAAATTATTTTAGCATGTGCTAAAAAAAAATTTTACTGAATGATTTAAAATTAATGTTTAATATTATGTTGTTAAAAAATGAAAACAATTCTTTCAAGCAGAAATAACTATTCTGTATAACTAATACTAAATAAGGGGGCATCCATACAGTACATATGCAGTAAAACCACTGATTTAGGGCCCCCTTCCCTCTTGTACGAACCTGTACGCTATTGAAAACCTAATAATAATATAATTACAAAAACTATTGTATTTTTGTAATTATATTATTATTAGTTTGTACAAGAATAATTATATTTTGTATTGGTTTTTTTTTTTTAAATATTAAAATTAAATATTTAATTTTAACTGAAGATGACTAGTGTTAGTCGAAAAATGTATTGTTTTTTATTAAAATTAGAAAATTTGTCTTGTTTATGAATATATATATATATATATATATATATATATATATATATATATATATATATATATATATATATATATATATATATATATATATATATATATATATTATTGGCTTAAATCAAGTGATTACAATATACAGTGATGCTCAAAAGTGAGTTGACAAGCATATTTTTTGTGAAAAACTGCTGTATTGCAATCAAAAATCAAAAAACAAAGCAAAATATTGCAAAGTTTCCTTTGAAATACAGTTACTTTTTAAAAGTATTACAAAAATAGCAAAAAATATAAATAAATAAGTTAATATTTCATGATTTATAAATTTGGCTAAATCCAAAAGTCTGTTGACAAGTGTTTTTTTTTAATATATAATCACTGGTAAGTTAATGAAATAAGCAGAATAATGCCTTAATTAAGTAAAATAATAATTTAAATAAACATTTTTATTTAAAATAAACTTTTTTATACTGTGAAACTTCAACTGATACCAGGATAGAAATTTATCGTTTAATTGAGGAGGAAGGAAAGGAAGGAGGAAAATATCTCTGGAAGTCTGGAAATCCTAATTTGGACAGACGAATGCAAGTTTGAACTCCAATCGACAAAGAAAAGAAGAACGGTCTTCAGAAAAAAAAATTAGGAGTTTTTAATGCAACATATGATACCTACAGTCAAGTTTAGTGGTGGGTCTATTTCATGGAACGGCCCTGGTATTATCAAGTTGATCAATGGTAAAATGACCAAAGAAGCTTATCTCGACATTGTACAGCGAAACGTCTTTGCTTCTGCGGCAAAATTAAGGATTGAGGACAATTTTATCTGGCAGTAGAATAATGATCCCAAACATACAGCAAAGATCGTCAAAGATTGGTTCGCTGATCATGAAATTTTCAAGTTCGAATGGCCTGCTCAATCACCAGATTTAAATATAATCGAAAATATATGGGAATACTTGAATAGAACTATTCCTCAAAACAAAAGAAAGTCAAAAAATGACATGTGTACAACAATCAAATGTCATTGGGAAGAAATTAACATTAATTTCATTCAGGAATTAGTACTTTCAATGCCAAAACGCTTGCAAGCAGTTATTAATGCTAAAGACGGACCAACAAAATATTAAATGGATTGCGTTTGCACCAAAATAATAAAACTATTTTGTTTAAACTTATGTTCTTGTCGCTGTCAACAAACTTTTGAGCAGCACCTTTTTGCGTTTTACCAAATTTTTTATAGTTCTAAGGTTAATTGACTGTTGCTCTATTTTTATTTCAAACATTCTTTTTGTTTTCTATTAAACTAAATACTTTCTACCCATAAATATTTTCTCATTCATAAAATAATGCCTAAATATTCACTTTTTTTAAATGTCAACTGACTTTTGAGCGTCATATATATATATATATATATATATATATATATATATATATATATATATATATATATATATATATAGAGAGAGAGAGAGAGAGAGAGAGAGAGAGAGAGAGAGATAACCCTCGGAATTAGAAAAAAATGAGGTCGGCAATAATTTGCCAACCTCAATATTTTTGAGGTCGGCTTCAGGTCGGCAAAAATTATCTGATACAAAGGTCTGACCATAAAACATAGAAACGAGGTCAGCAATTTTTTGCAGACCTCAAACACTTTCAGGTCGGCATTGCCAAATGCCGACCCTAATTCCGAGGTTTGTATATATATATATATATATATATATATATATATATATATATATATATATATATATATATGTATATATATAAATATATATATATATATATATATATATATATATATATATATATATATATATATATATATATATATATATGTATATATATAAATATATATATATATATATATATATATACATATATATATATAAAAAGGAGTTTAAACCAAAAAAAACATGGTTTTTTTGTATGGCATCTTACTCCTGATATCATTCTATACCTTTATAAATCTCTTATTTGTCCTTATATGGAATACTATTGTCATATTTGGGCTGGTTTATCTAATAATTTTTAACCCTTTCTCTTTTAAACGAGATCCAAAAATGAATATTTTTGGTTTATAAAGCTATTATATTGTATAATAGATTTTTTGTAGTTTTAAAAATATAATAATTTTTATTTTAAGGCTAAAAATTATTTATTTTAGATGTGATTTTATTGTATATCAAGGAATTAACAGTGACCCATGTCCCGTAACATGTAATGGATACGATAAAAAAGTATGTCACTTGTAATTTAATTGCACTTGCAATTGATTGAAAGTTGTTTATAACAGATTTGATAGGAAATTATGTTATTTTAAAATTAAATTAAATTACAAAGGCTTAAATTTTTTTTGTCAAAATTTTTAAAGTTATTTTTCTTTTAGATCTTACTTTCATTTTCAAATGGCAACCATTATGATGCACTCTACCCTATACAATTTAAATCAAATGCTGCCATGGTTCAATGTGAGTCTAAATTCTTAAATTATTTTATAATAAAACAAAAAAGACATTATACTCTTTTATTTTTTTTAGCGATTCTTTATGACTTAATAATCAATACAGTTTTTCCTGAAATTGGTCAACTTGATGATATTCATTCTGCTGCAGGTATCTCCTCCTCAGGTATCTCCTACTCAGGTATCTCCTCCTCATGGACACAAGTTAAAGCTAGTAAAGTTAAAAGTAAGTTCCCAGTTCATTTTTTCATGTTTTAATTAAAAATTTAGCTAAAAAGGATTTATTATTTATGTTATTCGATATGTTTATTCCTTCATATTTATTAATTGGTATTTAAGTTGGTTTGTTTAATTAATGTTTCTTTGTTATTTGATATTTAAGTTGGTTTGTTAAATAATGTTTTTAAAATGGTTGAAGATTATTTTGGGAAGAGATAAAGTTCTTTAATTTATAATATTCAGTTTTTTTATGTAAAAGTTAATTTTCTTAATTTTAGTGACCGAAAATTCGGAAGAAAAAAATTACCGCCAAATTCAGCATTCACTTGATCCAAATATATATAGAAATATTGAATTTGATGTCTGGGAAGAGAGTAAGAATAAACTTCAACAACATGATAGATCACTTGCAATGTCATTACATTTTAAACCTGGAGATCTTTGTTTTGCTACTATAAAAGAATCAGAAGATATCAGTAAGACGATTCGTGTACGGTTTCATGAGATTCAATCTGATAAATGTATTGTATTAAGTGAAAACCTAAAGCACAGATACTTTGTACGTTTAGAAGATATAAAGCTTATTACAAATGAAAACGAAGAGTATTATAAGAATTTACCTGGCTATTATAATAAAAATGAAAATGATTCAGATTTTCTTCAACCTAAACGTAGACCCAAAGGTCGTAGGGAGAAACAAGAAGATAGAAATCGACCTCCTCGAAATGGAGAGCAAAAAAAGCGCCATGAAAAAGACAATTTTCGTCGTGGCAAGAAAGATGATGCTAAGAAAAAAGACTCAGAAGACGTAAAACTTAAACTTGACTCGCTTGATTTAAAAGACGGAAACAAGCGTTTGAGTCCAATACTCCCAGCTACTCCTTCTAGTGATGTAGAGGTTAAAGTTGCACATCCTGCAGAATCATCGGCTGCTTTTTGGGGAAGAATGCGAGTAAAACCCGCCAATCACTTATCTCCTCACTTATCTGACTCAAATCATAAACCAGTTCATTTAGATGACGTTAGTGTTCACCAAAATGCTTACAAAAATGAAAAATCTCTTTCGCCATCTAAAGATATAATTTCGCCCGTTGACATTAAACATTTACATAAAAATAGCAGTGAAGGTTATGGAAATCATATCAGTAATGAAAACGATGTTAAAATTAGAAGTGAAATAAAATCTCCTATTTCCAATGGCAACAGTACAGTTAAAATGTCAACCAAAGTTTTATCTCAAAGTAAGTTGCCTGCTAAAAATTGCAAAAATCCTCCAATAGAATCTTTTCAAACTCAAAATTTAAGATCTGCAGATTTTTCAAAAGAATTATCTTTTGAAAGTTCTGAACTAAGTAAAGAAGAACTGTCTACCGTTTCCGACAAATGTTTGCCTGGTGAATCTCCTAATCAAACGAACAAGTCAAACGCCCGTAAGGATGTAAATAAAGAAAAGTCTAACAAGGATATTTTAATGTCTAATACGACAAACTCTTTTGATTCCTATAACACTATTTCAAATACTTCGAGTCCTGAAACTAAACTGGATTACTCAACAAATATATTTACCTTTACAGAAGAATTAAAACATATCAATAAAGAAGAAACTGTTTCTGACGTTCAAGATGATGCCGATAGTACAACAGACAATAGCGAGGAATCAGCAGGCACTGAAGAGATTAAAGATCGTAAAATAAAAAAAAAGGTTAGCTTTGCAACGGATACCGAAATTATCAGTTCTTCTGCTTCGCATTCTTCAACTTTGTATAACGAAAATCTAAATTGTGAACCAGGTAAAATAAAATTGCCACCTGAACATATTGAAAAACACACCAGTGATCAACCGTTTAATGATCGCCAGCAAAATGTTCTTCAAGCGTCTTATAACGGACCTTTTGTTCAGCAAATACCTTTATCTGGTATGTTACCAATGTATTATCAAAGTGTTGATCAAGTTATTGCGCCCGTGGCATTTTCTTATGATTTGGAGGGTAAAGATCTTCCTGAAGGTATAAATTAATACTAAATGTATAACAAATTATTAAAATTTTTAATTGTTTTTATTATTTAGTTATGATTTTTTTTTTAGATATTGCAACAGTAAGACATTTCTTCAATCTAGGTGTACAGGTTGAGATTTTTTACTCTTTTTAATTTTTCTGTTGTGTGTATAAAAACCTTTCTTTTTTTTTGTTATTTTGTTTGAGTTTATGGGTATTCTGCATTTAATTTTTTATTTGGAAACGTTATTCATTTTCAAAATTAGTGGTACTATATGATGGTTCAGCAGCAGCAAAATGGTTTTGTCAATCAACCTAATTTAACCAGTCAAGCTGGTATTCTTCCACTGCCTCTTCAAACGCAAATACAATTACGACATTCTTTAATGACTAGTGATATAAATACGGTAAATATTTTTACGTTGTACTACAAGTATATTTAAATCTATTTTCTTTATAAATATAAGACCAAAAATAATAAGCGAATTTGAAAGAACAGTTACGGTAGCAGAATTGGAGAGAAATTTGAAAAAATATCTCTCAAATTCTATAAAACTTATAATCTGTCGTGGATTACTTGCAAATTTTCATGTGATTTCTGACAAATAAGTATTACCTTTCAGTTCTAAATTGGATGTTAAAATATCACGCGACTACTTTGCAATTGAGTTCACTTTTTACTAGGGTTCGCACTGTCGGCGCAGATATGCGCAGATCTGCGCAGACATTGTAATTTGTCTGCGCAGACGTCGGCGCCGACAAAATTTATTATTACTGCTAAAATATACTAAGGTTCGTCTCTCGGCGCAGATCTGCGCAGATATTATTATTACTGACGATTTATTGAAATCAACAAAAAAAGTTTTAAACTTAAAAAATGTTTTGAGTAATCTTTTAACTTTATTATAAATTCAGTGATTAGTAACAATAGGAGTTTTCAAAGATTCTTACAGTAATAAAAATATATAATGCTGGCGCCTATTCGGTGATTTCTTGACATTCAATTTCATTGAGAATTGCACCTTCTTCAAGAATGTAATCAGTCTTGTCATTTGTGTCCATCAGCACGCTATTGGTATACAAGAATACTAGCTTTTCAACTCTCTCATTCGTAAGACGATTTCTTAGTCGCGAGTAAATAAATCGAAAGGTCGACCAAGCTCTTTTTGGTGTAGCCGATGAGCAGATCATTTCGTTAATAGGCTTAGCAATTTCATAAAGAGCAGGATATTTATCGCGACCGATTGTGTTCCAATAATTTCGCGAGTTCATCTTGAATATTGTTTCCTTTCTTCTCTCAGGCAACACAGAAATTTCTCCTATGTAAGTAATCAATTCATCCTCAGCAGTGGCAGCAATTTCAGGTTTGATCTTTTTGGCGAATTCAACTGTAGCAGTTATAAAATCGGTTTTATCTTCATTCAAACATAAATCTTCTGCGGCATTTTTGGGCGTTAATATAAAAGCAATTCCAATACATGGTGTAAAGAGAAAATCGAGGTGAGATTGCACTTTTTGTTGTATGTCTTTATCGTCCATATATAAATGGTACATTTGACCAAAGTAATCATACACGAGAGACAATGGAGCTGTATCACTTTCTAGCTTTCCGATCACGTTGGAAGGAAATTCAATGCTTTTGATAAGCTTAGAGAGACGGTCCCAAAATGGGTTAGATTTTATCAACGCCATAACAGCAGCAGATGTATTCTTTGGTTGAATTTCGTATTGATAGCTGGAGACTGCTCATTGATTTATAATAACTAAACCATCGTGTAGATATAGGCATGGACAATGAAAGAGAAATATTTGCTGCAATTCGTCTTTCATCAAACTTTGCTTTCACGATGTGATGATTTTTCACATATTTGATGATTTTCTCTGCATCTTTGACTGTTTTTGTGGCCTCAATTGTAGAAACTATGTCCTTCACAAGCAAGTTAACTCCATGAGCTCCGCATCCGCTAGCCGAGATGTGTGGATATTTCTCCTCGATGATCCTCCACGCTGATTTCATTACAGGAGCGTTGTCGCTTATGAAACTGGTAAATTTTTGTGAGCCAATCTTCTCAATAACTTTTAAGATTGCTGCAGCAACTGCAGATGAATTTTGAATGATTCCGGATGTATTTATTGAGGTGTAAAAAAAAGGCTTCTGCTTGGGCGCTTTAATACAAAAATTCACTATGTGATCGCCTCTTATTTTCGTCCAGCCGTCAGACATCAGTGTTAAGTTTGTTTCAGAATTCAAAATTTCATTTACATAAATAGAACATTTTGTGTATTGTTTGTCGAGCAGAGATCCTGATAAGGCTTTAGCTTTCGGGATGACAGATGCGTACGATGGATTGAGCGACTTTTTTTTTTTTTTTATTTTAATTCACCTCCTCAAGGCCGAGACGGCCACTACAGACGAGGAGGCTACTTATTTGTGGCTATAACCCTCTCTCAACTCTATAACTCCGAAACACGAACCTTGACGAACAAGGCCGCTGCGCGGAGAAACGAGTTGAGCGCGGTACTACCAGGGACGTGGTGGGAATCGAACTCGGAACCACTCGTTTATGAAGCGAGCGCTCTACCACTACACCACTACCGCATTTTTCTTCACAAAATCCTTAAAGACCTCCGATTCCACTAAACGAAATGATATACCCGTAGGGTAAAAGAAATTTTCAAGATATCATTTTTGAGCTCTTCATTAATCGGTGGATGTACACGCTGCATCGGTGAATCAGACGTACGGAAGTTGCTTTGAGTCATTGATTTGAGTCATTGATCAGATGTGACAATTCATAATTAGGCTTAGAAAACAATATTTTTTCCTCGACACTGGCGTTTTGACATGTTGATCTTTTATGCGCTGCAAGGCGTTCCTTTGACCATTGAACAGTTTTGTTACATGCTAAACAAGTGCCAGAACGCTTCCCTCGATCAATTTGTCAAATAATTCGAAATTTTGATGTTTTCCATTTTAAACATTTGTTATGACGAAAATACGCAATTTCTTTATTTTAAATCATTTTAAATTGTAGTAAGAAACACTTTAAAAAGTTTATATCGATTGATTATATGTAGCTCGAACAAAAAAGAAACATACAAGTAATGAAAAACTCGTAAAAAGTAGATAATTACCTACTTTTTACGAGTTTTTCAAAATGTCTGAAATTATTTTATTAAATATTGTCTGAAATTAAATTTAAAAAAATTATTTCAGGCATTTGATTCAGATAATTAAATTATCTGAATCAAATGTCTGAAGTAATTTTTTTATCATAATTTAAATTTTTCGTATCCTTTAAACTGTCTTCGCAGACGTCGGCGCCGACGTCTGCGCAGATATGCGCATATTATGTCTGCGCAGATCTGCGCAGATGCATTTGCCGAACCCTACTTTTTACGTTCGAAGATTACAGTTTACAATGTAATTTTCGAACGTAAAAAGTGAACTCAATTGCAAAGTAATCGTTATTATGTTTTTTGTTTAATTTTAATATTTACTCAATTAGACAAATCAATTGCACGATTCTTATTTGAAAAAAGAGAACGATCTTGCAAATGGTACACATCAACAGGCACAAATAGGCCATCAAGTATTCTTTGTTCCACCCAATACTTATGAACAATATGAGTTACCTCCAAGAATGAAGCGTGACATTTTCCCGCGTCAACAAAATAACCGATATGTTCAGCCAAGATTTTATAATCATCGAAATGGTATTGTTGAAAATGTTTCAAGAACTAGAATGGAAATTCAAAAAGGAATACCTCCTCATGGAATGAATTTTCACTCTTATTAAAAGAGATTGATTCTTAAGGAATCGTTTTCATTATTAGCTCCTACTCTTTTATCACAATTTTTAATAATCGAAATTCTAATTTTCTTTACCACGATATTTTTTATTAAATATAGTTTTTTTTTAATTTCGTGCCCATAAGGGGTCGTCCATAAAGTACGTACGCTTTTTTTTGCCAACCCCCCCCCCCCCGCGCAATTTGCTGTACGCTTTTTTGAGTCCTCTCCACCTCCCTAAAAGTACCTACGCTTTTAACCTACTAACCCAACATTTTATGATATTTTTCTAAATTTAGTGTCACCATACTTTTACTTTTTGACCTACTGCCCCCTTATCTCAGAAACGCCATTTGCAGACCTTCTCTTCCTCTCCGAGCGTACGTACTTTATGGACGATCCCTACCCGACGGGCATTTGTTTTTAAAAGTTACGATCTAAATATCTTTTAAATGTCTTTTAAACGTCTTTTAAACATTAACGTTTAAAAGACGTTTAAAACACATTTAGAACGTAACTTTTAAAAACAAATGCCCGTCGGGTAATTTGATGCTCGTTGAGCATTTGGAAATAAGTCTTTAGACCTCGTGATAACGTGTCTATATTAAAATATAATAACGGGTAACAAAGAGAAAGGAACATTAAAAGTTTGTAAAGAGACGTAATTTTCGCTTGTTGTGAGTGTGCGTTTTAAAAAAAATATTGCTTGTGTTGGAAAACTGATTAAAAACAGCACGTTTTCAATAGGCATAATGTATGATCAGTGTTTTCAATATATATATTTTTTTAATGCTTGATTTAAAAATGTTTTTATCGATCGTTTTAAAATAATTATTTTTTAAACATTTTTTAAATTCGCATTATAACTTTTTTTAAGAGCTACGATATCATGCTACCCAGTCTACATTTAATATTTCAGAAAGTTTAACACCTAAATGAATTAAATAAAAAAACTTAAGAAATTTCATGGTGTTTCAAGATAAATAGATTACAGGGGGTAATTACAAACTATTTTGAAGCCGATTAAATTTATCAATAGAATTTAAAATTTGTCAAACAAAATAATACTTACAACTCAATGTGAAATACAGAAATACATGATAAGATTTAACAACATTACTAGTAATGTAGCACGTCATTGAATGTATTAAAAACCTTTATTTCATTTAATATCATCTTTTGAACACAATATGAGGATGTACCGGGGCTTATACTAGGATGATGTATTTATAGACCTTTCAAAGGCACTTACTATCAAATCTTACTATCAAAATTAAAATATTATGGTATCAAAGAACTAATGTATAAATGGGTAAAAAAACTCTGATCTGTGTAACAGAAAGCAGTTTATAATAAACAAGGAGTCAGGTGTTCTTGATATTGAGTGTTGGGTCCCTCAAGGCTTAATCTTAGGATATTAGGTTATTATTTTTAATTTAAATCAATGATATGTATAAAGTACTATCTATAGTATTTTTAATAATGTTTGATGATGACACAGCTTTGTTTTACAATCCTAGTAATTTTAAATCGATGTTCTGAGCAATCAATACTGAGCGGGAAGACTGTAGTTTATGGTTCAGAGCAAAAAACTATCCTTTAAAATTAATCAAACTAGAAGGCTTGCGAAATCAAGCTTATTGAGAAATTCATTATCTAAGTAGAATGGTGAATCCTTTTAATGTGATGGCTAATATGAAAGTTTTAAACTTAGAAAAACTTAATTTATATCAGATTCTAATTTTTATGTTTAAATATAAAAATAATATGTTACCGAATTCTTTTTTATACATATTTTCGTTATCACTTTCTCAAATTTATAATTTGCGATCAAATTGTCTCCATAAGTATTATATTAAAAAAACTAAAAACCGGTATTCTGAATTTTCATTAACTTAATTGTAAAGTTTACAAAAATTTACAATTAAGTTAATGGCCGGAGCAAGAAGAAGGCATTAATTTGCCTTATCGTCGAGGACCGTGTTACAATTTATAATTTTTTACAAAGTTATTGAAGAATATATAGCATATAAGAAAAATTGAATAAATGTTTACAAGATTTCAAAAAATAATATAAAATATCGTTTAATACATAATATCATAAATAGACAAAATAAAAGTAAAAATGAATATATATAAATTTATACACACATTCTCAAACTTACACATATAAGCGAACATGTACCCATATATATGAACACACACAAACACACATATATAAATACATATATATATACATACATACAAACACATACGCACATACACATATACACATATACATAAAGACATATATATATATATATATATATATATATATATATATATATATATATATATATATATATATATATATATATATATATATATATATATATATATAAATATATATATATATATATATATATATATATATATATATATATATATATATATATATATATATATATATATATATATATACATATACATACACATATATATATAATAATAACAAATAAAAATGACAATAAATAAAGTTAACAACTATATACAGTAAAATATTACTGAACAGTAAACCTTAGAAGGTTAATGTGTGTTTTGTAAATATAATTTTTAAATTTTTACTTTATTTTGTATTTTAAAGGTTTCCGATGAAAAGACTTCTCGAAGTCTTCGGCGAGTTTCTTTAACTACATTTTTCTTAACCACAAGCAAGTCCCTAGTAGCCCAGTCGTGCGACGGACTTGCGTATATTTTTTAAATGCATGGGTTGATAACTTCTTTTAGGCATTGTAAATATATGTAGTGTAAATATATATAAATTATATAAACTAGAGACATGTAAATATTACTTTTTTGAAATATATAATAAAATTCGTTGTTAAAAAAAAAAAATTACTTAAATGAACTTTTTACATGGACATAATTATATGTCAAATGGCGCTGTAGAGGGAACCTACAAAAATATTTTTTTTGGAGTTTATACCCAAAAATGCTGAATCTTCTTTGATTTTCTTTTTTTATATATATATTTAGAGATATTTAGATATTTGATTTTCTTTTTTTAATTAATATGGAAAAATAAATATATATAATATTTATTATACCAAAATTTATATTAAAGTTTGTATCAGTATTATATTAATGTAATTTTATCAATCTAATACGTAATAATTTTTTCTTTTTATTTAAACTTTTTGATAAAATTGTTATTGATAAACTTAAGGCTAATTTAAATCTTGGTTAAAATGTATTTTAAAATCTCAGCTTGTTCTACATATAGTTTAAAACTAGGTTTTCTAATACTTTTTGTGTGCTCATTATAATAAATCTGTAAAGTCGAAGCTTTTCTTTTGAATGTTATTAACCTTAAAATTCTTGAATAAATATGAATAAATACCCCTTTTATTCATATTTATTCAACGCGTTGAATAATTTTCGAGTGTTTACAAGAACGAGATTAGACGTCGAATGTTTTCGAGAAAGAGATTAAAAATTAATGTTTTATTCAAGACGTAGTATGATAGTCGAATGCTTCCGAATATAAAATTAAAATTAATCTTTTATTCATACTTTTTTTGTTAAGACTATTTAAATAATAATGTATAAGATAATATAAATTTTATATATATATATATATATATATATATATATATATATATATATATATATATATATATATATATATATATATATATATATAATTTAATAATAATTTAAATAAAAAAAGGAAAGTATTTTGCTGTTATTTTTGACTGTACTTCAGACATTTGTCAAAAAGAACAAATGTCTCTTAACTTTAGATATGTTTCAGACTGTACACTACCAAGTTCAAGTGCCAATGCATATGAACAGCTTATTAAAACTATACATGTAGAGAGCAGTACAGGAGAAAACCTATTTTCTGTGTTAAACAAGAAATTCAATCTTTAGGACTGAACATTAATGACATTCGAGGGCAAGGTTATGACAACGGTTCTAACATGAAAGCAAAGGTTTTAGGGGTTCAGGTTAGATTGCTTAAAGAAAATTCAAAAGCATTTTTTACATCTTGTACATGTCATAATTACAATCTCATATTGGGAGCCAAAATTTGCTCAGAAGCTATAATATTTTTTGGTATTCTTCAACGCCTGTATGTTTTATTATCGGCATCTACAAAAAGATGGCTAGTGCTTCTCAAATATGTGGAAGAGTTTACTGTGAAACCGGTTTGTGATACTAGATGGGAATGTCGGATTCAAAGTGTTAAAGCATTAAGATTCCAAATAGGTGAATTTTACGATGCCCTTTTTGAAGTATCAGAAACCTCTGAAATCACAAATCAAAAGTGAACCTAAATCACTTGGAAAACTTAATGAGAGATTATAAGTTTTTAGTAACTCTGTTTTTTTGGTATGACTTACTCTTCCAAGTAAACTTTGTAAGTAAAGAACTTCGATGTAAATCAGTAGTCCTATCAATAGATCTTATGTCATTTGAAAAACTTTTAAGTTGGTTGATCAATTACAGAAACACTGGATTTAAGCACATTTTAGTCAAGGCAAAAGCACTTGCAGAAGACTTAGAAATATATCCAGAATTTTAAAACAAGCGGCTCCGGAAACGAAAAATATTTCAATTACGAAGGCAATGATGAGCATATTATAGACCCTTTAAATACATTCAAGATATCTTTTAGATAAAGCTAAACAATCGCTAGAAAATCGTTTTGAACAATTAAAAAATCATGATTTATTTATTTGGGTTTTTGGGAAAATTTTAAAATATAAAAAAAGAAGAACTAAAAAAACATGCATTAGATTTAGAAATTGCTCTGACAGATTCTAAGATTATACAAACGGATACATCTAATGACACTGTGAAGCCTTAAGCAGACTTAGAAGGTAACATGTTACTTGAAGAAATGGAAGCACTAAAATCTATTCTTTCATCTGAATATTCCCAAAACCCATTAAATGTGTTTCAATTTTTATCTGAGAATGACAGAGCTACGGCATTTCCAAACCTATTTATTGCCCTTCGCGTATACTTAACAATTCCAGTGAG